CTTGGAAAGTTGAGAAGTCCCAGTTCTGGTAAAACAAACTGGGAAGCAAGTTCCAATGATCTTGTCATCAAACTGGCTGATCTCAGCCACAGCAGGATCACGAGAGGAGAAAGACAGTGTCTCAGAAAACCAGAGCCCAAAGCATTTGGAGCTTCCTAGGGCAATGCCAGCTCTTCAAATTCTTAACAGAAACTGATTAGTTAAGCCAAAGTACAACTGAAGCAAGTCCAAAAATAAAAAAAAGCATGTCCCAAGCCAGCCTGTTCCCATGTCATTTGTACTGTTATTTGGCAGGATAAGGTGGAGACGCTTTCATCATTCCAGAGAAGCTAAGTCATTTTCTATAAACCTTGACTGAAACTAAAATTAATTCTGGGGCTAATGCCTTTTAAACTGGTTTCCATCCAAGAGCAAATGAAACCAATCACTGGTTACTGTTGAGAGATGTCATCCAGAGAGAAGCTGCTGTCTCAACCTGTGAATGCACGGGGGAGTAATCCTGATAAAAGCTGATGTATCAGAGGCAAGGATTTCAGCAAGGACACTGGTTCAGTCTTCCTTGCCATTGCACGTGTGCTGCTCGTTTATATCCACAGGGATCAGTCCTTCACTCCTTGCCATCAGCTGGAGTGGTGCCTGCTCGTGTAATAAGATCCTGAAGTTGTTAGAACATGGACCAAATTCCAGAGAGATAGAGGAAACTCAATTAATATTTAACTTTTCTGGATTTGTTTTCCAGTGCTGACCTATGACAGCTACAGAAGGGGCATAGAAGAGTTTTCTCTGCAATTTACACTTTTGTGAACTGTCATAGATACCAAAACAAGTGCCAGTGGAGTCAACTGCAGGAAATCTTTATTATTTTCTTACAAACTCTTTAAAATGTAAACATCCTGTTGATATGAATCTCAGATTCCTCTGATGTTTACTTAGCAGCTGCCATCATTGTGCAGTGTCTGAGTACACATACAGGGTGCTGGGCTGACAGAGCCCTGTTCTGATTTGTAGTTTATTTTACAGAAGCTAAGGCTGAAAATGCTTTGGAGCAATTTAATGGTAGAACAGCTGTTACCTTAAAACTATTTGAAACTTAGACATTGCACAACTGTTTCAAATGTGGTATTGAAACGGCCAGCAAAGATAACCCACATCCCCCTTTACTCTACCCTCATCTTCAGATCCTGAAAGAGGACGTGATTTAGCCACTCATAGCAAGCAGGGCATGGAATCAGGAATCATGTAAAGTCTTTCTCCTGTCCTGGGGTAGCTGCCATTTCCCTTCTGAGTCAGAAATAGCTGAAAGTCTCAGCATTCAATATTCCAAAAGAATTAAAAAAAACATCTTCTCACCCTTGTGGCAGAACAGTAAAAAAATGCAAATAATGAAAAGTTGAAGCCCAGACCAAAAAGAGGAAGTATCTTCTATTTATTGTTTTGTAAATATGTTTATTTTGAAGCTAATCTCATTTTGGGGGGAGCCTGACTCACTGTTTTTGAATGCTTAGCTTGACAGCAGTTTTCCACAGCTGGTGCAGTGGTTGTGCTGACTCAGGACATCTTTACAGCCATGCACAGGCCACAGGAAGGCATATCCTGAACAGATCCATGCAAATCCTGTAGCATTCCAGTGTTTCCTTCCATTCACGAAGATCTTATGTGCCCATGGTTCATTAACGATGCCTGCCCACGTGCTGCAATAGCAAAGCTCCTAGTGTTCAAATGAAGATGAGAACATTTGGACTCTGGAAGTGTTGGCTTCAATATGTCTAAAATGAATCTGTCTTAATATATTAGGAAAATAAGTTAACATCCTAACATCTGTATTTTGTGGCTGTGTGTGGCATGGGGAAAGGGCACAGACTCTTCCAGACTCTATACACAAGTTCTGCCAAGCATTGCAAAGCTTGAGAGCACCAATCTTAAATCAGGAACCTTTAATGTGTGCATGAAGGGGCCATCTTTAATAAAAACATTGCTTTTCCTTTCTCCTCTTTTAATAACCAATGTGCAGTGAAGGAGACAGCAGGATGCTGAACTCCTGCCTCGTTTGTGGCAGCAGCAGTAAAATGCCTGCTGAAAGGAACTATATGAAGTAAAAATGGACAGCTTCGTGGTAAAGGCACCTAAACTGGCAAGACTGGGCTGTTGGTGAAGTCATTAATATTTTTCATAGATGGTTTATCCCAGCTGTTAACCAGCTCTGGGTGTTTCAGACTAACACTACATACTTTCAAATTCATATATGTGTTTTGATACTAATTTCTGTGCTTCTCGTCTGCAAAAATGGAGATAAAAATGGCCAGTAAGGTGTTGCAAAACTAAATTAACAAACTTGAGAACGTAAATCCTGTAGTGCTGCGTGCCAGAGGAATGCATATGGGAAAATAAATTCTGTCTGTAAACCATGGAATATGCAGTAAATAAATCCTCAGACCACACGCAGAATTTAAAACGAAAATTACTGTCCAACAGCAGCTCATCAGCTGAACGTCGTCCTGTCAGTGGATGGGATGAATCAAGGATCCTTTGGATCATGCAATGAAAGGTGAAACTGTCATGCAAATGTACCAGAGGCAATCTAAGAATTCACATAAATCCTTCGTTTAGGCATTTCCAAATCTGTGAGTTCTCAAGTTCCCAACCCTACCTGGAGAACAGCCCATTTCGCAGCTCGTGCGGACTGAGCCAAGATTTGTATCCACCTTTCTAAGTGGAGATGACTTGTCATCCTTTTCTCAATGATCACATGGTGAAACTGTAGGACTGGCCTATAGAAATGCCTAATAATTTCAAGGACTACTCTATTAAACTGGAGTGGCTCCATTTCTTATTTTCTCTGTTTCATAACCTGTATTTTCATATCTGTTGGTTAAACCTGATTTGGTCAGATGTTTGGCTTTCAGAGGGCTTGGCTGCAGCTGGCCATTTTACATTGGTTTTCTTTAAGAATTTTTGCTCCTGTGACATCCTGTGATTTATGAATCAAAGGCAAGATCAAAAGAAATGTTGTGCTAAAACAAATGACATCCTTTGCTTCCAGCAATTAGTGAGTGACAAAGGAAACCAATAGCGTTCGTTAGCGTGGGATGGTTTATGTTCTATATTTTATTTATATGTGGAAGTATCATTTGGGTTGGTGTCCATGCAACTGAGATACTATATTTTGGATACAGCCAATAGTGAGTAATGTCCAAAATTTGGGTAGGCTTCAACAAGAGAAAAGCAAGTTAGACAAAGTCTTGTAACATTTTGTGAAATGCAGTCTGGGCTCTTAGCCCACCCCTGCCCCAGTGGGTACATGTATTTGTATTCCACAAGGCTACAAAAGTAATTGAATTGAGGATTTTTGTGATGAAAGGCAAACATCTCGGGCCCTAATTTATGTTAGCATTGCTCAATTATTCACTGAAGTACAGAAATGAAATATGAAACAAATGAGAGTAGTGGAAGTGGGCCAAGCTGTGTGTGTGAGATGTTGAGCAATCAGCATCCTTCTGGTACCTGTGTTCAAACATCTTAGTGTAAAGAGTCCTTGTCATTAATCTTTTGTGTAATTTTAAGACCATAGGTTTTGTCTCTCTCCCAGGGAACCATTCTCCCTTCAGATACTTCACAGAAATTGCAGGCCACAGCTGCAGCATGCAATGCTGAGGGGAAAACAAGGGGAAATGATGACTTGGGAAACAGTGACATTCGGTTTTTCTGACCAAAAGAAAAGACACTTCTTTGGATATTATATTTGCCTTGAATTTATTACTTTTGTGTTTAGGGAGTCCAGGTAGCACCTGTTTCGTGTTTCTCATTGAACAAGGTTATCAGGGCAACATCAAAACAAAATGTGCTTTGGTAGAGTTTTAGCTCCACATTAGAACCCAAAAGAAAATTGCTCGTTGAGTTTGGGCCGTGCTTGTGCTCTGTCACTTCACACAAATAAGATAGAGAGTTTGGGTTGGTTCAGCCTGGAGAAGACAAAGCTCCAGGGAGACCTTATTGCAGCCTTTCAGTACTTAGAGGGGGCCTGTAAGAGAGATGGGGACAAATTTTTTAGTAGGGCCTTTTGCAATAGAATGTGGGGTAATGGTTTTAAACTGAGAAAGGGTAGATTCAGACTAGATAAAAGGAATCATTGGTTTATGTTGAGGGTGGTGAGACACTGGCCCAGGTTGCCCAGAGGGGTGGTAGAAGCCCCATCCCTGGAAACATTCAAGGCCATGTTGGATGGGGCTTTCAGCAACCTGATCGAGTTGAAAATGTCCCTGCTCATTGCAGGGGAGTTGAACTAGATGACCTTCAAAGATCCTTTCCAGCTCAAACCATTCTATGATTCTAAGACTCTACGATTATCATATTCTCCAAGAAAAACAAGTCTTGCTCCTGAGAATGACTGTAGTTGCTGTTACTCTAACACGGTTGAGTGATTCACCTCTGTTTTACACCTAACACTGGGATTAAGAAAAATGGGTGCTCCTCCACCTAAGGCCCCAAGTGGGCAAGTGGTTTGAGATCACACCTGGCAGACACCAGTAACACTGAGCTCCTCACAAATGTGGAATAACCTCCTGCTTTCTCTTAGTTCATATCCAGAAGAAAGCTATAACGGTTGGCCCTTTCAGCTACGGCATAGCAACCAGTTTTGCTATTTGATTAAATAGCTACAAAGCTAACATAGAAAACAGCTAATAGCATGGGAAAACACATCAGCTTGTCTAGGTGGACTGTATGGACAGCTAGATGTTTTGATCCATACTAAAAAATCTCTTAAGACAGCCAGCCTTTCATCAGCAGCTCTCAGTTTTCAGCATTAAGCTCATGTTTTGTTTTACAGCTGAGGAAACTGAGGCACAGAGCTTTATAATTGGCTTCATCCTCCCTGCAGTCTTGAAAACACCCAGGAACTACCCACTTGCTGTTCCTCACATCACATCTTTGTTTGTGTATTGCTGGCTTCATCAGTAACTGTTCCAGTTCATGATTTGACATGTTGTTTTTCTGATTTCTAGCTGATTTTTTACTATGGCATTGGAGACAGCTGGTGTCCTCAGCACTACTACGATGAGATCAAGCTGGATTTCCCAGAGGGGGACATTCGGCTCTGCCAGAAGGGGCTCCGCCACGCCTTCGTGCTGGATGCCAGCAAGGAGATGGCTGCCATGATCACTGACTGGTTACAGGATGATTTGACCAAATTATAAACACAGGTTCAGTGGTTAAGAAGACAAAGATGTAATTCTTTTGTGAACACCTAATATTTTTTTTTTAATTTTTTCTTTTTTTTTTGGTGACAGAGTCTGCCCTGTTATTTTTTTCTGTTTAATATAGATTATGGTTTGTTTTCTATTGAGATGTTTTAGAGAACGTTGAAGAGAGACTGGCTGGTCCAAAGTATAGTTATATTGATATGGTGGTGGTGGACCTTCATCCTATGCCTTCAGGACTCTGCAGGACTTGGCAAAGGGTGGAATAGTTATTGTCTGCTCGCACTCTAGACAACAGCGACATTAGATTCACTGGCCACAAGTGTAAATGAGTTAGTGCCACCTCACTCACCTGCTGGAGAATGGCCAGGGGTGGGTTTGGGGCAGTCCAGCTGATTTGCTTTAGAAATACCACGCTGCTTTGTTAGAATAAAAATCCTGTTGTGGATGGATCCTGGCAATGGATCCTGGTGTGCTGTGAAAGACCTGGCCTTCTACACATCTCATCCATCCATGTAACCCTGGGGAATGACAACCTGAGCGGCCCAAGGCCCCAGGACAACCCTAACGTTGTCTTTTGCAGGTGAGATGGGGTTGGTCAGGCTGAGCTCAGGATGAGTACAGGGGAGGTGTGGAGATGAGATGTGCAGTTTCTCCCAAGATTCAGAAGGGGTTTAGGGCACTGCCAGGGCTCCACAGGATGTTAGAAAGCCCGTAAGGCAACTGTGGCTGCTCAGCAAGGGAATCCTTATGGAGCTCTTCTCTGGCACAAGGCCAAGTGTTTAATTTTTTGATTGACTGTAGAGAAGGGAAAGGTCAAAAGTGGCAGTATTATGAGGTGAAAATGGATCACAGAATCCATGTATAAATAGTTAGAGGTGGGCTAGCTCTCCTCATGAAGTTCAGAAGAGCAGTGCTTGCCTTGCAACTTCAAAGAATTAAACCAGCTTTGGTGCATGCCTGAGTTGTAGTTCTTTCCTCTAAGGACTGAAGGATGGGATTTTCTGCCAAGCCACAAATTAGGGAAGTCCACCATGAGCAAATGGCTGTTGCTCTGCCATGGTTGCACCCATGAAATGGCACCACATGTTGAGAACCGTTGCTGAGAAATGCACTGTTCCTTAGGTTTGTTCATCCCTCTCCCTTTCAGACAGCAGAAAAGCTGGAATCAAAGATCCTACCAGTTGTGATAACATAAGGAGTTACAGGCAATAGCTAGAAATGAAAATAATGCAAGGGGAACAGAGCCAAGTGTAATCAGGAAAAGCTTTCTAGCCATGAACCTGTGAAATAGTCTCCCTGTGGAGTTCACAGAGACATTTATAAATAAACAAAACACTACAGAATATAGCCAGGGGAGGTCCTGCCCTTGCAAACAGATTCATTTAGCTGATGCCTTTGGTATCTAACTTACATGATTTATTGACAGTTTCAGTGTAGTCCTAGGAACATTCACTGTGGTACAGAAAGAGTGATTCTTTCCTTACTTGTCTTACACAATTACACACACACCTTCCACTTCTCTCTAAATCCCCCTTGAACCTTTCACTAAATTTGTAATAGAATTCAGTTTCTGGATATTTTTGGACTAGTTTTCAAACCTGCAGACAGAGAGTGGATTTAAGTGACCTTCCTTGCATCAGAAACTGGTTTAGCTTTTGAGACCAGCCAGTGGATTTTCAGGTGACACTGCCACGTCCTGCAACAGAGGCTGGTGCTTGAGGCAAGAATGTTGAGACCACAGTTGCAGCAGCACGAGGGGGGAGCCAGATACATTCAGAGTGAAGGATCTGTGCCCATGCAACTGATTCTGTTTGTTGGAGAGTCGTGGGACTTTCCTTCTTTCTACGTGATCCTAACAATTCTTGTACTCACTTTGGAAGTCCACAGCTGTGTGTGTCTGTGTGGTTTTTAACACCCCCAGATGTTGGGATGCATCCCTGTTGGGTGGCCTTGTGGCAGATGTTCAGTGCATCTGTTGGCCTAGGTGCTCCCTGAGGCAGTGAGGGGCTGTGTGTTCACATATGTGGACATAAATATATATATATGTACACACACACGTATCTATACACACATATGCATGTATGTATGTTGGCAACAAAAAATACAGTTCACTTGGTTGTTTTGGTTAACACGTTGATCTGGTTGAACAAAATACTCTCCCTTCAAAGTATATGGGATCAGGTAATCGAGCAAGGACACAGTTTGTAAAAGTTCAGCTGTTGCAGTGGATCTCCTGAGGACAGGAAAAATCGTGCATTAACCAAAGATGACAAGAAACTATTAAAGCCTGGAAACTGAAGCACCTATGAGAAGCAGTTGTTTACAGTGCATTATTCATATACTTTGTACGAGGAATTAATTTAGCAATACTTGTACTTGACTTGTGTATGCCTTTTATACAGATGTTAATCCGTTATAATAAATCCTACTGGCTGCATTAAGACCTAAGCTGAGATTAGAGCTGGTCAGTGATGACCAGACCTACTGTAGGAGATTGCCTTACGATTTTCTTAAATGAACTTTCACTAAGGCTATCAAAACCATCCTGATTCAAGTGCTCCCTTCCTCCTAGAAGCTGTTACTGTAAGGCTAAGAGCTGAAAACCAGCTCCTCTCATCACTGCAAAAGAGCACGGGATGAGTTTTCAAAGCTGTATTTCCTGAGAGGAGCAGATCTTCACACAAGGAGAATCCAGCTCCTCTGAAGCCCGTGGTGTTCACCACGACCCCAAGCAAAGAGGGTCAGAAGTGTTTATGGTCCAAATGTGCCAAGTTACCATGAAAACACAGTGTGGTCTTGCCTGTTTTAGACTATTTTAGAATCCTTGTGAAACCTGTGGCAAAAGGATTGCCTGTATGCAGCAGCACCTAACCTCTGTCCTTCACATTGTGCTTAGTTCTCACCAGGCAAGTAACCCTGCTAGCTTCAATGACTTTGACTCATGTTCAAGTGCTTTGCTAGATTGATACCTTTTATGAAAAAAATCACAGCTCTGATAACAAAAATAAAGACATTTATGGTAAAATGTAATTTGATTCTTTATTTTGATAACTTGTTTAGTCTTAGTTCACCTTCTTCATTACTTCATGCATACAGAATTTACAAATAATCTTGCCAAACCCCGAATTTCACATGCAATGGAGACATCTGCTAAGTGGGTGGTAGGCACCTGACCTGAGCATTTTTATCCAGAGCCACTCCAAGAGAATCAGTCAGTTTCCCTTTGCTCCCTCCAGCTCCGTGTTTGCTGCTTTCTATGGAGTGTGTGGATTAGTGAGGTTTGTCCCTTCAGGAAGCTTGACGAGTGCTTGCCCAGTGTTTATGGTGAAGAATTTGGAGCTGGACTCCAAGCTAAACACCAGTTTCTTGACTCACAGGAGACAGATTGCATACATGAGCCACAACAGATAATCTCTTCTCTGCAGTTGAGGTCATTTATGTATTTATTTTACAGCAAATGGGCTCATGTGTGCATCCACTCCCCGCCCCTTTCCTTGGTCTAGCTAATTGCCAGCAAAGACTTTTAAACAAGATGTTCAATGTTATCATTAATAAAGTTGCTCAAACTGTTACTGGGTTTGGATAAACTTACTAGACCCAAGAGACTCGTTCTACTCTGTGTCACAGGTCATACTCAGACTCCCAACTGCAGCAAGTCTCTGAGGCTCTTCACTTGCAGGCAAACGTTCTCTGGCCTGGCACATTTACAAAACCAGAATCCAGAGAACATTTGTGAGTGACCAGGAACTATTAAAACAGTATATTTTTCTGGACCAGCTGATGGGGTTTGAGTACAAGCAGCAGATCAGCACTCCCAGCACGAGCCAGCTGCCAGAAGCCATGGCTGCCCTCGGTAGCCTTGTGCAGGAGTTATGAAACAGGCCAGCACACAATGCTCAGATGGGACAGGAAGGGGGAGATTTAATTAAAACCTGCTTTTTCAAGTGCTTAAGCTGATGGTGAATGGCCTCGGGTTTGCCACCTACTGCAGCAACGTGCTTGCAGGAAATCAGTTGTGTTGTGGGACGTGGTTTGCAGCGGGTCAGGGAATGTTGGTGAGTGTTTAAAACATCTGACTGTGTCTGACTGCAGGGTTTGGCAGCCAGACACGCCAGGGGGATTTGTTGGCCATCCTTGGTGAAGCAATTCACAAGGGAAAAGGCAGCAGGGGGTGCCCCCCCCCCCGCCCAGTTTACGAACATCTTCAACAAACTCATCCTAAGGCCCCCAAGCTTCATTTATTAAGAGAAATCCTTGTGTATGGAGATGAGATGGCTTGGAACTGGAGGAAAAAAAAAGGCTTTCCCAGTGTCAGGACTCAGCTCTTCCATTTCCATAAGAGACACCCTTAAAATCTGATAAGGGTCCAGCTGATCCAATCAAACTTGTTAGAAGCAGGGACACCATTTACAGAGTATAAATGTTTTGAACTGTGAACATCATTTGCTCTCACCACACAAGGAGTAAAGCAACTCATCACTATTCATTAGGAAGGAACTTTTTCACCCACAAAAAAAGAGAAAAAAAATTAAAAATGCCCAGGATTTTAAGCATCCAGGTTGAACTGGAGTGTTTAGCTCAAATTACAACCTCAGTAGAGCCTCAGATAAAGTCAACAAGTCCCTTCCCTCACGGGCTTAGGGAGACTCAAGTGATCAATTGACTGGGACTGGGGCAGAAGAGGTGACATGGGATGAGCAAAGAACTTCAGCATGAAAATACTTGCAACACAGGAGTTTCCTTTTATCCTAATATCCCTACTGGTTTGTTTCAAAATAGGACAGTCCAACATAGCTGGATTCCTGTGGAATTAGCACTTTGTGATAATGAGGGCGGAAGATTTTGCAGCAGTGAAAACATGCCTGTCTAGTATCAGTTACTGAAACTAAGATGAACATCTCATACTAAATATTTTGGGAGTGCAGTTGAGCCTGACAGCAAACACATGTCCCAGGGATCTCCCCAGGCACCTCCTGAACGAGTCTGCATTGCAG